TTTCCCTAAGATTGGAAGTGCTCCCAGACTCTCCAGCAGCCCAAGGGAACAGGATGTGCACAGATGCCTGGGGCCAAGGCTGTAGGCAGTGAGCAGATGGCTTCCAAACTGGAGGGGCGGCCTTGGAAACCATTTTCTCTGGCCTCACAGAGGCGTTAAGGGGAGTCAGGACCTGACTTTTTGGCCCCACTGAAGCTCAAGAAAGTGACACCCAAGACATTACCCAGCAAGTCACAAGGGGCCCCCCACCGAAACCAGGGTGTCAGGTTTTACCAACACCCTCTCTCCTAAGCCACCAACAAATTAACCCTTAAGACCAAGGAAGAGGGAGCCCAGAGGAGGCAGCAAATCTGAGCAAATAAAAATGCCAGCCACTGCGGCCAACAGGTGGCACGTTGGTTAAGGCCTGGACTCCCATGTGGTTGACCACAGTTTGTGTTCTGGATCCCACAGCTTGAGACTTACACCGGGCACGTGTGCGTGCATGCCCAGGATCCTGAGAGGAGAATGGAGGAGAAGGGACTGTGGCATGGCCATCCTCCCTGAGGAGTGATTTCTCTCTTTCTGTCTCTCTGGCAAGTGCACACACCCTACACCAAAAGGCTCTGAGGAAAAAAATGCCAGCCACCAACCACGAGAGGGCGCACATGGCCCAGGAAGCTACTGAGAGGGTTCCCCTGTGGGGCGGAATGACTGGAAAGCTGCCCCAGCATAGGTGGTTCCGGGCCTTGCACTCTGACGGCCTCCTGCAACCTGGGAACAACCACGCAGGGGCCAAGGCCGCAGGCCCTCAGGTCTCTTAGAGTTAAGGCTCAGGGTGAGGCCAGCCTCTGGGTAGGAGAGGTGATTGTTCCTTGGGAAGGAATTGTCTCCTGATGGAGGAGGGTCCCTGCAGGTCTCGAAGACACTCCCCTTGGACCCAGAGCACAAAGGGACATCAACCTGCCCATCATACCACGACTGAGGGGTAGTCATGGTGACCATTGGCCTTCAGAGGATCCAGGTATAACCCAGATGCACTAGGCCTGGGCAGCTCTTCCCTCCCCATTCCTACCTGCCCCTAAATTTGCCGAAGGTAGGAAATCCGCCTTCAGCCTTGTGCAGTGCTGGACACTCGAGTGGCACTCAGTAAATGCTGTCCATTGACTGCACCGTGGGAGTGAGGGCAGTGGCGGTGGGAACCTGGGAGGGCTGAGGCCTGGGAGTGGGACACCCAATGTGTCAACTTCAGTCCCCGGGGAAGGACGGGGCCTATCTGCAGGGGGTGTTTAGAGAGCCCTAGGGGCCAGATATGGAGCCAGTCTCACGGGAATGAGGCCTATGGGGCCCCTACCTCTGGGGCCTCTCGAGCTCCTCCCTCCTTTCTCAAACTCAGTCCTAATTCCTGGCTCTGGAATTCAGTCTGGCCCTAGCTCCTGGGAGCACCACCAAGCCCTGCCCACTGTCTGGGCCTTTTGATTTACCATGTCAAGAGATTCTGACTGGTCAGAGGTCCAGGACAAATCAGCGTGACCAAGGGTACCATAGATAGGGGCAAGGCTCTGCAAGCAAGACAAGCAATGATAGGTCAAAGACTGTCTCATAATTCCCATTTACAGATAAAGAAATTGAGGCTTTCTCAGGGAATGTGACTTGTTACTGGGCAAAGGGCTCAAATGTCAGGTTCTGCAATAAGCCCTCCAAACAGAAGAAACACCTTCACTCCTCTACTCAGCAGTAATCTGTTAAGTACCCACCATGGGCCGGACAGCAACCACCCACAGCCACAGGGAAACTGACTGAATCTCACCATCCTCATGGTGTGATACGAGCCCCAGAAAGTTCTAGGGATGTAGTGCCGTCTCTCCCACACCCAAGTCCTTACCGAAGAGGAAACCAAGGCTCCAAGAGGTGGCATGCTTGTCCAACTCCCATGGCTGCAGGACAGGATGCAGCCCTGACGTTTGGGTCTGTTGAGGAGCAGCCAAATCATTTCCTCACTTGGAAAGGTTGCATGTATCACTCCTAAGTCCACCGTAGTTCTCTGTGTGTGTTTATTGTCTGTCTTCCTCACTAGAATGCCAGAGCCAAGTCAGCCTTGTTCCTGACCTAAATCTCAGGACCTAGAACAATGCCTGGGCCGGAACTGGCACTTAGGAAATAATACATGTGTGGAACTGGATTCCGGAGGCTTCGCCCCCAAGGATTCCTCTGCCTCCCTGGGATGCAGGGTGGAGCGTTCTCCATGTCTGCCACCAGGGGGCGAGCGGGCCTCATTTCTAGCTGCACGCCAGTCCTCAAGGGTTAGAAGCCACCCAGTAGACCCAGGGGACCCAGGGGACCCAGGGGACACAGTAGACCTACTCCTGGCTGGCCTGGTGCTGAAAGGGAAGCAGCCCTGCAATGGAGACCTGAGACCGTCCTGTTAGGGACCCTGTAAATGGTGCGCCAGCAGGGGGCTGAGGGAGGGGCTGCCTGTCTGTTGGGGATGGTCTGAGGGGCCAGGTAGAAAGAAGGCAGCCACCAGGACTCACATCACCATGGTGACCCACTTTCACACAGAGCATTAACAACCTGGTATGTCCGTGACCCATGTTCATGCCCACAGCTTAACACACAGTGCCACCCTGACCCACGCTCAGGCTGGCGTGACACCTGCCAGCCCCAGGCATGGGGAGTGACACGTGCACATTCTGTCGTTAGCAAGCACACCCTGCAGGATGGGACACAGGGTCACGGGGTGCCCCTGTTCCAAGCCACATTCTGACACAAACCGAACACTCCCTTAGATATCCCTAGGCCTGCCAACTTGGGTGGTTCCTCAACACCCTGGCCCTTGGGTTCAGAGTGTGACTCTGACACATACATGGCGACAGGCTGATATGACACATACACAGGGGCAGGTTGACACAGAGGCATGGTGACTGGTATACAGGGGCTCTGTGCCACAGCCAACTCCCCCACTCAGACACAGCGACACTCTCCCACAGAGTGCACGGGTGTCCCCCTCCCACTCCGTACAAAGGCTGGACGTGCAAACACACGGCTAAACACAGACGCACGTGCAGACGCACAGACACGCATACTTTGTGTACGTTGAGCACGCGGAAGAGGTCTAACGCCCCTCCTACCTAATCTCACGCCCACCTCTGCTACTGCTCTCCCACTCCAGCCCAAGTGGGTCCTGGTGAGGACTGTGAGTCGCTGAGAAGACCCCCATGGGGGTGCGATGACCCCACTGGCCCAGCAAGAGGCAGAGGCAGGCAGTGCTGGGCGGGGAAGCCTGAGCTCATCAGATTCCAGCCCGAGTGATTCACGAGAAGAGTCTGGGGAGGATCTGGGAGGGGGCAATGGCCTAGGGGCTGGGGCTTTGGGGGCTTGAGTAGGCTCCAGACCAGAGGTCCCTAGGTCTAGAGCAAACTTGGAGGGGGGGTTCCTGAGGAGCAACCCAGCCTGAAGGGGTGCCTGCCAGGCATGTCTCCTGGGAGGGGCTTAGGACACAGAGCTGAGCCTCCGGATGGATGCCTGGATGCCTCCGGATGAGACAATCGGCCCTTTCCTCCCACCCCACCCCGGGCCTGGGCCCCTGACCCCACGCCTTCCCAGCCCCAGCAGCTGGGTGTCTTTAGCAGGGGTCAGGCCAAGGGTTGGGGCACAGGGGTGGGGCGACCTTCACGGTCCTTCCTGACCCCTCAGGCTCTCAGGCAGGCAGCCCGGTGAACTCCAGAGTCCCCAAGGGGCTGGGCCTTCCTGGCCTGGGTCGGGGCAGACAGGGTTACAGGCCAGCACGGCCCTGCCAGGCGAGGCCTCTGCCAGAACCAAGAAAGTATGGCTGTCCCAGCGCCAGGGATGTTTTACTGCTGAGATCGAGCCCTCTGCTCCTGCCACCCCCAGAACCCCCTGCCTCCAGGCTGGGCTGATGCTCAGAGAAGGCGGGGACTGTGGACACCCAGATCCAGCTGCAGGGTGACAGGGAGAAAGGATGAGGCCGGAGGCAGGGCAGGGGCACAGGAAGTGCTTTTCTTGGAACTCCGCACCAAAATAGCCCGTTCCATCCCTGCTCTGGGTCTCAGTGTCCCACGGGGGAGATGTGGGTCACCCAGCTGACCTTAATCCGGCTTTTGCTCACTGCCCCCCTCCACCCACTCTGCGGCCTCTACTCCACTTTGAAGTCCTAACATAAATATCATGTCTGCTTGGGTTCCCCTTTCCTGCCCTGTCGCAGCCCCCGCTCCTGGCTCCCACCCCAGTCAGCCCTAAGGGGTGCAGTGCCAGGAGAGAGGGGGGAGGCCAGGACCACCCAGGTGAGGTGATGAGCCAGAGACCCTGAGACAGAGACAGGGAGACACCAGAGACAGAGAGGGGAGACACAGACGTGGGCAGAGAAAAGAGACCAATGAAGGACAATCCTGAGGCCAGGAGAAGTGACAGAGAGACTCCCAGAGATAAATAGGGGAGCTGGAGACCCCAGATACAGCAAGGCAAGAGAGAGGAACAGGAAAGAGATCCTGCAATCAGAGGGAGGCATGAGAGGTCTCTGGGGACAATAAAGGGCAGGAGGGACCAGAAGGGGAAGGTAAGGACCTTCGGAGAGGGTTCCAGGGGCAGGCGGAGAGCTGAGCTGGGGAGCAGGGAAGGGTGTGGTGGAAGGAGAAATGCTCCTGGCAGCAGGGTTACCAACTGTCCTATGCCCATGCCCCTTGACATGGG